TCATCAGGAATAATTTTAGTATTTCATATTTAAGAAGAATGAATCTCAATTGAATATCCCGTTTCTTCTAAAGAATGAATCTCAGCCGAATATCTGGCTTTGCTGGAGCCAGCCCTGTTGGCCAATTAATAGATTGAGCATATTGGATCAATTCCTAACTATTCTTCAATTAACACTGCAAATAAATTGATTTACATTAAAAGAAAAAAAGTCCTAGCCTTCATGTATCAGATATTGATAAGTGACACAAGAAGCCAGGTGGTAATGAGGTAGATGTGCAACAGGGCAGCTCTTCTGTCTCTGCCATCGACTTCCAGGCAGATTCAGAGAGTAAAGCCTCTATTTTCAGGTGAAAACATTGACCAGGTCGTTAGGTCTAACCATCCCTCAGCTGGACATAACCCCGGCCTTTATTGTCTGTTTGCGCAGCTTAGTGCATGCTATGAAGGGTGAGTCAATAAGGAATAACCCTCTGCTCTGCTCAGACAGCACAGTCATTAGTTCAAGCCATCCCCTCTRTTACCCAATTCCAGGGCAAGTGAGGAAGATTCATAAGCGCGAGAAGAAAACAATGTAGGATTTTTCTGAAGCTTTCAGAATGTCACAGTGGTCAAAGAGATTTCTGAAGGGGATTTTTCTGGAAATTCTTGACTCTGTAATAACTGKCTTTAAAGAAAACCAACTACACACACACACACAAGTCCACCCCCAGCCAGTACTCCATCGGCATCGAGTGCAACGGAGCATCCCTGAGGAGCAAGGCATGGGAGCTGAAGGCCCTGAGCTCTTGTGGAGAATGGAGCTGCATCGAGAGATGCAAGCACCAAACTGCACACCAAAGAGGAAGAGCCTTTTTTTCTGGCCAGCTGAGGGAATTTGACCTGTTCTTCTGCTTTTACATTTACAAATGCTTTACCTTTGGCAATATAAGGTATGTTAACAACTGCAGGCGCCATCTGAAGAGACAACTTTACTGCTTTCTGTACCTAAAAGAGGCATTAAAGGCATTGGAGCATTATGTGATCTTTGGTGTGTCTGCAATACTCAGTACAATGCATGGTCTRTTCCTCCCTTCCAAGTCTTAAAAATACATATAAAGACTGAAAAAAGATACAGAAAAAAAGTAACAAGCATGAAGAAATGACAAAGTAAATTAAGACTCTTCAGGATAGAAAAGCAACAACTAAGACTGAATGTGATAGAAATCTATAAAAACRGAGAGGGGAACTGTGATTTATTTTAGGCTCTCTCTGATGATATAGGAACTAGAAGTATCAGCTGAAATGGAGGCACAATGAAAACATGTAAGAGGTGTTTCGCCAGATGGAAAAGTTTATGACGAGTTATCACAAGTTTATGACGTATATCACAAGTTTCTTTAGAAAGTCATGCAACCATGGAAGTGAGWCAGGTGTCAGTGCTTTACTAAAAATTTATAATTCCCTTAAAAAAAAAGTGGGCTTTCAGAGTCTGAGAATTATTACTGTAGGAAATGCAGCACACCTTGCTATCTAATAAATACTTTCTTAAAGACAAAACACTTCTGGCTTGGTGCTCACTCCCTTCCCTGAGAATCCATCGGTCTGTCATCCACCAACATGATAAACCAGCAAGGTGTTGAGATGTTAGATGTTACATGCTGTGTGTTCTGCAGTGAAATACAGGCCTGGCAGAAATCCATGCCCTTTTCCGCTTGCATAGTTTATTGAGGCTATTTTGACGATGCTCCGTCTTGGATGTGCTATCCACTAGGCCCTTCTTGTCCAGCACAAATCAGACAAAAAGTAAAACCTTCAGTTCCTATYGAGTCTGCCGCAATCCTATGCTGCTGCATAGGCAACATATTYTTTGGGTCACCAGTTGGCTGGGGAGCAAGTCACCATCCCTGCCTCACGGGAGCAATGGGAGCAAACAGCCCAAGGCAGCACCTGTCCCTCTGTTTTGTGGTAACTGAAACACAGTTATTGCATTAATAACCAATTATGATTTAACAAAATTTGACCTTGCACAGAAATACCAGGCCAAGTTGCTTATTCTTATTGAACGAGATAAGAACAAAAAGTTTAATGCATAGAAAACAAGTCTAAGAAATGATTGTGTTTTTGCAAGCACCTATTGCAAGAGTTTGTGCCTCTGTGATGAAGGCATCCGCACTCTCTGTCCACCTAATCAGTGTCTTTTGACAGTGCAGACCATCGGAAATGATAAACAGCAGGAAGAATCACGAATCATTACACAAAGAAAAAAATCAGAATCATATATAGTTACCACAGTCATTGAATTGCACTGCTTTTATGTATAAGTACCAAAGCGTCTCCTCTGCATCTGTTTGTGCCAACTACTCTCCCCACTCACGATTTCAAGCAAGGAAAGGAACTGTGAGTTATGATCTGTCTTCCCTAATCTCGAGTTCTACTTGTACAAGTAACAAGAAATAAAGCTGATATGTTTTGCTGCTTTGTACATTTAAAAGGCAACAAAAAGCTCTTCAAAGATGCAAACAGCAGCAGTCTTGTTTTCAGGGGGGGGAGGGAGGGAAGGAGGGAAGGAGGGAAGGAGGGAAGGA